AATAAGTTTTTGAATTTAGTTAATCGTTTAAAACCGAAGGTAAACTTAAAATAGCGTGGTCATTATTAAAAACCTATTCCAAATCTATTTTTTTCACTATAAGAGAAATTTCTTCAGTTTTTGACGTATAATTTAAAGACAGTTTAAGGATTATCACGTAATTTCATAATCATAGGCGGTGTAAAGGAAAAGGTAGAGTTTATAAAAACTTAATGACGCTATAATATAACATCAATAACGTAAATTGACAGGATGTCCATAATACTTAAATGGGGCAGCGTCGATTGCCTTGCATACATAAACAACTGGGTTCCATACATTTATTTTTAGCTTCAATACTTCAATAAAAATCGAATCGAAAGAATTGCAATTTTGTTCACAACAGACTTGACTTTTATTTTCTATTTTACTTCGAAAGGTGTCTAATGAATTCTACCTCACGCTTCCTACTATTGAGAGAAATTTTATAGCCTTGTTCAAAAGCCGAGATAAAACAGCGTGGTTTGTCGCAAAAAGTCCGAAAGGAGAAGTATCGGCGAAGATAATAATGCCGATACTGTTGAAGGTTGTACTTTTAAAATAAAGGTGGGGCTATACGAGTCCATATTTCATGAAAAATTCATGTTGTGACCGAGACCTAATGATGTAGAGCCGATCTTTTATTGCCATCGGGGAATTATCTCTCAGCGATCTTTTATTTTAAATCATGACACGTTCTTAATTCTCAACCTTTAAATATAAAAGAAAAAACAGTTGCATTAGTAACAGATATTCAAAATTTGTTAAGTCAATTCGAATTTATACCAAAGAGTCGCAATGTATTACATTAGTGTTATAACATTGTCAAAATAAACTTGAAATTACCGATGCGTGGTATAACTCGAGACTGCACCGCTCTTAAAAGGTAAGCACTACTTCATTTCATTTTATTTATGTCTCTCCGTATCCAGTAACCTACTTTTCACTAAGAACAGGGCGGAAGCTGAAATTGAATTTCTACTTGTAAAAACGGACCGGTAATAGAGTTTACCTTCTCTACATCAAATGAAATAACAACTAACGTACGGAGGAGTGTGGACGCACACATTTGCCGCTTCATGTATTTATTTATTTTTGCTATTATCTTTTTAATAAAACTAGCTATTAGTTTGTTCTTCGTTCACAATAATCGAGTATTATTTCTGAGACATTCTGAGTTATTTGATGACCTATTAGTTTCTTAATCTGAATTTGGTATTAGAAATCTAGACTGAGGAATCCTTGGGATCTAACACGGAAATTTTTGAGAAAGTTTACGTAATGTCTACAAAATTTGTATTAGATTTGCCTATGTACTTTACGCCCGATAAATGCTGCACAAATCTAATATTATTTTTGTCGATGATACAAATTTTCGTCCTAGATTCCTGATGTCTTTAAATTACATTGTGTTTTAGTTACAAATAATACTGGCAATAATTTTAGAAATAACCTACGTAGTTGGCTCCATTTTTGTATCGTTGTCAAAGAATCCGAAGTAAAAGATAACTTTAAGTAGATAAGTGAAAAGAAGTCTTAAATTGACAACATAATGAGCAAGTAAATCATTTAATGTCGCCAATCCTCGTCGAAATGGACTTAGCTCGGTGCTTTTTAATATCATCTCGTATCAAATACAGGTACACTGCGATCCGAGTTCTTGTTACGAGTCGTGGTATCTGTTCCCTGCAGAATATTACATTTTTTTCTTCTCCATTTGGCGCGCTGGCTTAGATTGTATTTTATCTTTATGAGAAATCATAATTCATACTGTTTTTGCTTGTCTCGATGAAAAACATTGTGTGGTGTTTGATATTTTTGCTATGTTTGTCCATCTTTCACTTCGTAATATATTTGGTGACAAGGCTATTATTTGTTGGCAAAATTCTGCTTTTACTAGAATATATACTCTAATACAATCGCATCGAACTCTTTCTTACATACATTGTTGTTAAGATGAAAAGGGACATACAGATTAGTTATCTTAAGACTCTTAAAGATCTCAAGCATGATACATACTTTAGATCATTGGTAAGTCTTGATTTAGTTTCATTGTTTAAATGATAAATTGATAAAACGGATAAAAAACAACACTTTAAATTGATAATGGCGGACATCGTAAGTTTAAAAGTATATTTGTTTTGTATGAACTCTTGATTTGACCCGCGAGCGTGGTCCGGCCGCTACTCACAAAACAAAATGATAAATGAAGATCATCGGTAGTTACGCCTTACATAAACGCTGATGGATTGATTGTAAACGGCCGTGTGTGTGTCTATCAATCGATTAGTCGATGCCTGCGCAGCCTCGGGCTGGGATCATGAACGATTATATTTAATAGCTTTTGTTACTTTTTTACCTATGTATGGAGATCCAGGCTTGTTTAAAATAGGATGATCTTTTTTATGTCTTTTTTTAATCTTTGTTGCCATAAGTCCTATGAACAATGCAAGATTGGTACCGAGTGGAGCAACATTTAACTTCGATGAATTTCAACGTAGGTATTCATGATCTGACTAAAAAACTGACTTAAATCCTGATACAATTTACATACTTCATGGAGTCAAAGTATAGATTGGAGACATATTTCACCAGAAGAATTTATTCTTGATTATCAGAATTCATAATCGACTTTTGAACTTTTAAATTCATTCATGTTTCTTCATCGCTTTCAACAGCATAAAGTCAAATAGTAAAGATTAATTAAATAATATTCAATAAGCGCTGTTTGATTAACAAAAGAGTAATCTGTGGCGGCATCTTACACAAACACGGGCCCACTCGGAGAGCTGTTTTCAATCACCGTCGTTCATTATTCACTCACTTCCCTTTGCAGTCGGCGAAGTACATTCGTCCGTTTTGTTTTGTTTAACTTTCATATTTCAAACTCTTCGAGACGGCGTCGTGCGATACAATACTTTGTAATTGAATTGGTTAAACGTTCTTTGTGGCGCATACGGAATGGCGAAAGTAGAATTCGGTACAGTTAGAAGGAAATATAATTTATTCTAATTGATAACACGTCCAATTCATCTTAGTAGCTGATTGTTCAAGCGCTGGCTTTAAGTTATTGTAATAGTGATGATAAATGATTTGCTGTTTGTAATCAACTTCAATAAGCAGAGAAAGTTACAAGATTGTCTCGTTTGTTTATTTTTATCTCATTTTTGTAAGGCACCAATTATAACAGCCTAAGCTTAACTGAGAACCATAAATATAGCAATAGGATAAGTTGCCATCAATCACCCAAAGGGCTATAAAATCGCATGACTAATTTAGGACAGACTAATGACCATTGACCAATATTATTCGTAACTTATTATTTACCTAAATAAATAAGTAAACTTTGTACCGAGTCTAACACTTGATAAACAAAGCATAAAACTCCAATATAGACGTATTACATTCGACGCGCCTCTCTCAGCTACCAGTGCAACGCTCTCGACCACATTTTTTGTTGTCATTAGCCGACGTGAAATAACACTTCTGTGGCGTTGTATCGTGATCCAAAAAAAAAATAAATTGTGTGAAAAATTACGATGATTACATCTAATAACGGGCGGCCGGAGTGGCCTGATGGCTCTTGCTAGAGATTGGCGTCATTAGCGGGAATGATAGTGACCTAATAGTGTAATTTCTTTTTCTTCGCTACCGCTTGATATTACCTATTTGAATTGCTTTGTATTATTGAGGTTAGGATTTAACATTTATTTTCAACGGATAAGCTTTTTATGACGCCGCGTTGACTCGAATATGATATTACATTGTCTCTGATGAATTGTTTCCAATGTTGGGATTTAAAAGTCAATGAAATTGCATTGCAATATTTTATTCGTTTGAAAAGCTGTCATACCTTTAACGTTGTACGTTTAACTTTACACAAAAAGTAAGGAAAAATGACATTCTTCTTTGGTGTAAAAATACAATTTTATGGCTTACCGCGTCAAGTTGATAGATTGCATGGAGCTACAACGTTTAAATTTACTTTCAGTTCTTTATCGTGCATACTCATAGTAAAGAAATAACAGAATGAATAGTATTGAGAACAGCTTTAGATAAGTTCCTTTGTACGAAATTTAATATTATAAATGTCGTAGAAAATAAAATACAATAGAGTAACATCGCAATAAAACTGAGTCATGTTTTTAATAAAATTCACAATCGTGACCTTTGAAAGAGTCCATTTAGAAAGTTAAAAATCACTTTATCAAGTAAGTCGTGAGAGCATTGACGTATCCGAGCCACCGTAAGTACTGGCCTGGGCCTGCAACTGCGCCCATTGGCATATCAGGCAATTAAAACGACCAGCCGACGGTAAGCAGATGCATGTCACTTTTATCAAATACATTAAACTCGCTGCTCGAATCGAACATTTATTCTCTTCTTTTTATCCTCTCGAATATAAAACCCACTTCGAATTCAGATAACGTGTAATGTATTGGTGTCCTTTCGTATAATTAAATGTCCCTTTTTATGTAGCCTCTTTAGGATTTGAACGCAATGTTAAAGTGCTAATTAAGAATTTTGAGATATATCATGTTAGAGAAACGTTCTGATAAGGTCGTCCTGTGTGGACCGGTTAGTGGTAACGATTTTGATGTTTTGACGTGACCCGTTTTAAGACATGTGATAAATTTTATGTGATAAATTCAACTATTTTTTTGTAACTTTGTTACAATGGCTTAAAAAGTTTGAAAGATCAGTTTAAAAAAATGTTATGGCACAGGGAGTTTAAATCTTCGTACCAATGTACGTATCTGCATTACCAAATCTATAAATTTTTAAACTAATCAATAAAGTATTACAAGGTAAATGAATTAAATAATTCAAGGGTCATATCCCTGTTACATGTAATGTCCAGTAAAATCATTTGACAATGAATCATTGATTTCGTTCTGTATCATTATGTTGTTTTCATTATTTTTTTGTTGTGTATTTCGATAAATTGGTGAATGATTGACATTTTGTGTGTTTGTTCGCAGTTCGCGGCGCCTCGACCCGGCGGGGAGTCATCGTGTTTGCAAGGCCCCGACTGTTTTATGGTAAGTATCCACGTTTTAATTCAAAGAAACACTTTGGCTGAAAAAAATTATTCATATAAAACGTTATTTATTAGTTTCATGTTGTTTTAAGAAAAGATTAATGATCGTATTCTTTTTTGTAATTCTTTAATTTCAATTTCACTATTTCAAATAGGCGAAGTGGTGTAAAGTAAAACATTTTTAGTTTATTTTGAATCCATTTAATAACATTTTCAAATTACTTAGTATTATAATTATAACCTAGGCTACAGCATGGCACGAATTCGTTTAATTAGTGATAAATTAAATACCGATATTCCAAGATAAGATACACGATATAGAAATGCAAATTAATGGTGACTAGTCTGTAAAATCAATAACATCTCCACTTCAAACGTTCTCGGGCATCCAGGCGACAGGACGTTTTGTCAATATCAGTAATTAATAACCGACGTTGGCGTTGCTTCTTATAAATTATTAAACCTTAGCGAAGCGAGACTCGGCGTCAAGTTAACGTCAGCTCCGACTAATGAGTGGCCCATGACAAATGCTGGATTTGTATCGAACGCCAACCTTAAATCCGAACAGACGTGGCCAGCTTAAACAAATAATTATCTGTATTATCTTAAAACTTCGACAAAAAGTTTAAATATGTTTTTAAAAAAAATAAGGAGGGCTTAATTGACTCTTAATGTTATGGTGATATAATTTTCAAAAATAAAAAAAATATTCTATTACGAGGTATTTTTTAGTAAGCAGCATAAGATCGCTGTTATGTCGTCATTGCACTTACACAGTCTTAAGTTTCTGTGCACGTATTGTGAATAGCATTCCACTAATTCATAGCGCTAGAGCTAACTAGTTACAATTTCCATTTATCATTGCAAGAGATCAAAGACTGTCCCTTCGTGACAATCCGTGCCAATGATGTCCAATTAAGTGTTGGCGTCTTTCATTTAAATTTTACACACATCATTAAAGCAACGCTCTTATTGTTGCAGTGCTGGGAGAATTGTGAACTACTTCAGTCGAACTATCAAGTATGGGGTGCAGTTTGCGATGAAAAAGATATATGCGTAAGTATAATTCATTTGTTATAACGTCTTCTACACTAATTTACATGTTACATATAAATACACTGTTTTTTTTTGTCCTAATAACTACAAATGAAAAGGGAATCCAAATAACTACAGAAACCGAAGTAAGAACTACTCTATAACTCAAGTGTTAATTAGAGCAAATATTGTTTACAGTTCCCAGGTTGTAAGGTAGCGTGTGAGTTCCACACAGAAGCGGCAAGGGCATCGCAAACACAGCCTGTCATACACACCAAGGGCGAAGGCGTGATGCGAGTCAGCGGCGCTCTCGCCCGCTGGCCTCCGCCGGCACCACGCGCCTCCACAAAACCTGCCCCATTCGTCTACGTGGTCATGCGCCGAGCAGCAGAAGGACCTTGGCGACAAATCATACAGACCCAGGCCCTCGCTACCAGAGTACCGCCGAATAATGAAGGCGCACTTCTTCGAGTGCTTGTCGTAGACCCTCAAGGCCTCGTCACCATTTACAGTCCTGATGAAATGTGGCTGGCTCGCGACACAAACTCTTCTAGCCATGACGAACACAAATGGATTCTAAAAGAAATTTCTCTCATCCATCAGAAAGTCCTTGTGATCGGTGAAATCGCCTGGGAACCGAGGATCGCGCGTGGCGTTTATCTTGTAACGTGGGAAGTCGACGGCGGAGGGCTGAAAGGAAACCTTTTTACTGATTCCACACGTGTTACTTTATCGCTTTGGCCAGATACAATCTATCACATTCAAGTGGAACTGGTCTCTCGGACGCCGGGTGTAGATAACGAAAAGTCAGAGACAATGACCATTGATACGAGTCGAGCTCAACGTGTTTCGACAGAGAGCGTACAAGATGTTGAGGTTAGTGAAGGGGACCGTTTAATGTCAGTATTAGTAAGTTCCATGAGAGGGGAGCGCGTACCCGAACGGGCCCCAGATTCTGAGTTAGTTCTTGGCTGTCTGTCAGCTATGATAGCGTTTGGTTTGGCCGCGCTTGCTGCTATTGTATGGAGAAGGAGACGGCGGGGCACCTTCCCTGGGACCAACGTGTATGTGGGATCATCATCTGTTCTGAAGCGGAAGTTGGTCGAGGATTTTACTCCTTCGTCGCATTGTTTCCAGCCCGTGCTAACACCGGCTATTGCGTCTAACGAAAATTCCGTGAATGACGTCATCGTGTGACGTCACAGCTTCGATATGCTGTCCGTCGATGAACGTGCTTTGAGTTCCTAAACATTAGAACAAAATCGTGAAAAGATACAAACGTTTCTTCGTATTAAAGTGGATGAACTGATTATTATGTGATACTGATGAGTGTATGCGGAAAGGTAAATAAATATTGTATTTTGTGAGATGGTTTCTTTTGTGATTTAATTTAAGTTATTTTCCTTTTGATAGACACTTCTGCTCATCGTTCGCTATGATTGCGTGACATATTATCGATTCGTACGTAGTGTTAGGGAAATTGTAAATTGTACTTATAAAATATATTTATGAAACACAGTAAGGTAAACACCAGACAACTTAGCGATGTAAATATGTTAAGAATCGTTTAAAGATAAAATATTTTTAATTTTAAATTAAATCGTGTATGCTGTAAATATTACATATGTAGGTGTTATTTGAAGTATTTAACAAGCAATGTGTACATTATGCTTAAAGATGAATACTTTCATTAGTGTGACTCATATTTGAACCTTTCACTATCATTTTGTTTTGGAACTATTCACATTGAATTTCTATTATCTACTGTAAAAGTGTGGTAAATTAAACTAACAATTAGAACTATTTTTACAGCCTAGTCCTTATTAACATTTAGTTAATAGTTAATAGACATACTTTATTCAAATTATAACGTTTAGTAACTTTGAATTTCTTCAGCAATAAAAAGATGTACGTATGTGTAAATATTCGAAGCATTTATTGTAAAAAAAAAAACAGAGTAATTATATTTTTCTCGATCAACATTAATATTTCTAAATGTTATGGGTGGATTAACGGTATTAATATGTTAAGAAAAATTATAAGCGGATGAATATCTTAATTTCATATACTTGAATGTAATGAAAATGTAATCAATGTGTTTAAAAATTGCATCATTATTGTAATATAGTGCATTTAAATTGATTTATAATTTAGCTTTAAAAATCCTTATAAATCTACACGAAAGTTCGTGGAAACCAAAATTTTCCAACTCTAGATGTTTTTCTCGTTTGGTTTTAATGACCAAATTTATCATTAATTAATGTAAGCATTTATGTTGTAATTATTTATTTTTTGTATAATTTCGTCTTTCACTCGGATTTGTAAATAAAATTTACTTGCTTTGATTGATAAAGCTGAATTTTAACAAGTATGAATAAACATGTCTGCCAAATTATGTCGTGTTTTAATGACTTCATTAAAATTAATTGACTACGAAATCGAAATTAATTGGTAAGTTAATGAAATTGAATTTAGATTTCTCAATTATGTTAAAAGAAGAATAAAATATTACAACCTCATTTTCAACCCAAAATCAGTAATGTTTTATCGATAAAAGAACTAAAATAATACATGTTTTAAAGATATTTAATAACAATACATTTTGATTAAAAAAAAACTGTTAGTATAAAGATTCAAAAACACTGCCTCATAAAACACTCAAAAGAATACGAAGACCTCTTTAGGATTATGTGCATGAATAACTTTCATCAAAGCAATAATTTCGAGGAAAAGCATTTATATAAATATTAACACAGAGATTTAGCATTACTTAAAGCGACGCGTCGGTGGTCGAGCAGTCATCTGACTTGTCCCATGGAACGGTACCATTGTCTAGGGATTAACGTCAACGAATTTGTTGTCAACAAGCGCCTGATCAAACAAAAAGATTTGCGCGTCACATAACCCTAAGGAACCCTTCATTTTAACCGTTATTCCCATCCCGACAGCTTAAAAGCTTAACCTTTTTTTAATCACCGTATTTTACATAAGTCCATTGTAAACAATAAAACATAAATATTTCTTGGGTAAAGCTAAAAACAAATACAATTAATTTTTATTTCTCTTAATTGTTACAGATTGAAATTTTATTTTAATTTTAAGTCGCTTTTAACCTATTAAATTCAAGAGGACAATGATGTGATAATTATGAAATGCTCTTTCTTATCTGCAAATTTAGGGTATGTGTTCATTACGATGAACGATGGATAAAACTAAACTTTGAGCTGTAATTGATGGTTTTTAATTCTAATTTCTGCTTATAAATCTAGTTAAGAAATATAGAATAAATACAACAAAGATCTGTTTATTTTAAATCATTTTAATAGCATCTTATTGCTTCATGTATACGATACCTCGATTTAGTATTTTACTTACTATGCTCATTTATTTTCATTAAGAGTAAAGTTTGATAGGGCAAAGAAATGTATGATTATGGTAACGTTCAGTCATTTATTTTAGTTACCCACTTTATTCTTGGCTCGCGGTCCTAGTATAAAGCATAGGCTCATAAATAACAGGAAAATAGAAGGTGAACGCTTCTACGAGTATCCTTTTGGGAGCGGCCAGAGCATTCTTTTAAGATTTATTACAGAACTTGAGCGCATTACTTATTCCTTATGTGCCTATGTTACCGACGCTCCCTTAAATTTAGATGTCTTTTTGTTTGTATTTGTTTTTTTAATTCGCTTTAATGACTAATTATTATTGCGTAAAAATATCTAAACTACAGAAATTCACTAAGATTAATACAGCATACTAAAGTTTCAAAAACAACATTAAGCCAACGAACTGAGCGAAATACCTGAACTGGCATGTTAGCATTCAATGTTGAATTTATTAGATATTAAATTGCGCGGTAAGCAATCGAGAGCAGCGATAAATTCAGATACCGGTAATTCCGATTTTGAAATAATAAGAAGTCATTACTGCGAGAAATAGACCAAGGTACTATTATAATAAAGACAAAGAAACCAAAAATAAGATAAACCTAAAATGAAATACATTTACTGTACTATATTAATAGTAGTAGTATTGTTGGTTTGTTTTGAAAACAATAACTTAAAAAAAAAAAAAACAAGTCATACTTGAAGATTATGTCTTACTAGTCTTACTAATACATATTACAAGTCCGAAAGTGTAGGTAGATGAATCTTAGAGTTTGTAACTGAAACTGCTCTACAGTTCTCAGTGAAACTTAATATATAACAGAATAGTCTGGAAATACACGTAGGTTACTAGCTTTTGTTTTTTTTTTTTCATTACACGACAGAGTCGCGGGCGAAAGCAAGTGTTAACTCAGTTCATTGGACTGACAAAACTCAACCTGACCGTAATTATCAAAAGATTAGAGCAACGTCTTCATCTAATGACTTTCATTAAACGCCAGTTGTCAGCTTTGATCAAGTGGGCTGTCATAACCCGGGGCAGTGTTGAGGGCCAAAGCTACAGCGAGTGGCAGCGTACCGGTATGAAAGAGCCAGTCTTGGTTAATGCCAGTCTGAAAGGGCCTAAACCTCAGGGAGTCCGGCGCTCGTAGACACTAATAGGCGGCTGTCAGCGTGGGCGATCCGCTAAACATTACCTTGTAAATACCGGCAAATATTTGTCTTCGCAACAATTATCGTACTCGTTTCCCGCATAGAAATAGACAAGGTACACTTAGGTCCTAAGAGGAAGTACTGCTTTACCCGTTATGCATTTTAATACTAGTTTAGTGCAAGGATAAAATAGATTAAAAGCTTTTAGAAATTACAGGTGATTTAATAATGAAAATTTTGAGTCGTTAATAACTTAATAAACGCTTAAAGTTAATAAGTTTTTTACACAAGCGAAAATTTAAAAAAAAATGTGGTACCCAATAAGACAATACAAAAGGAAGAAAGGTAAAAAAATTAATTGGTTATGTGTGGACATGAAAACGTATCTTGAAGTATTTTCACGTCACTGGAATTTTAAGCATAATTGACCCATTTCTTAATCGAAGCATAATGTGGGTCAACCGTTTATTATCAAGAGAACGGGGATATGTTTTTCTTGAATTAACTCACAATTCATGGACTGGAAAGTTATTATTTTGCCAACCGATGTTGCTAATACAAAAAACAATGGAATCATGTATTTATTGATATCTAAAGTCAATGTATACTTATCGATAAAAATTAGAATTTATATCGATAAGTACACATAATAGTATACACTATAAAAATGTATTTTTTATCGATAAGCTTTACAATTTTATTGAAGTGTACACAGTATTTATAGAGCTTATGAATAAACACTTAGGTTTATTGAATGCAGGCTTACTCGATCGACAACACCAATCAATCAATAATTCTCGGAAGCAAAACATTATCTTAAAATACATGGTTGTTTATAATCGATATGAAATTATATATGCGATAGAGATCAGATATGGGTGTAGGCAAGTAATTACATTTGTGAGGTTGCTTCACCTACCGAATAATTACGATGTTACGGGAAATTCCTGTTTTGTGTACTCATACGTATCGATTTTATGACATAAATCTTTCATTTTGTAACATTCTTTTTTGTTGCAATTAACAGTACGAAGAATTTACTAAAGTACTAATTTTGTTTACATATGTATAAGGTAATCGATATCCATATGTTATCCTTATTTTGGGATCTTTGTCGAAACAACTAACCGTTTAATTTTTTGCGTAAAAAATTACATGGTTTGAAATTTTATGTCGTGCAATTATGACCAAACAGATAATAATCCTACAATTAGTTCTACAAATGTACCAATTTAGATTCCTAGGATTTAAAACGAACTCCCAGTGACTAAGTACTTACAACATTAATTGTCTGGTATTCAAGGAATTTATGTCGGACAACTGTTAATATTCAAATCCTTGTTAATTACGTTTTCAGCTGGCTGTCTTCAACGTTCAAGTGCTATTTCAAAGCGATTCCAAAGCACCTCAGTTTAGTCAACAGGTGGCGCCGCAAATCGGTGACTAATTACCAACGGTTACAAACAACCGGTTATAATAATTAGTAATGGGCGTAGTGGGCGGTACACGAGTCGTCCCGAAACAAGGCGTGGTCGCTTTTCGGCGATGCCAACTCATGTTTAATTTAACGCGTGAATATCGTCATGAATAGCTTTAAGTCGGTCTCCTTTATTAAGGCTTTATACGAGAATATATGGACTCCAATTATAAAACGCTTACATCAAGTAACGTAAAACTCTGAAAGAAATAAACGCGAATTTTTAAGAAGCTAATAGGATGAAAAACCATTAAGAGGGAAGTAAGACAGTACACATTTTTGACTAAGCTTTCGTACAACTGTTTAGTCGCACTTCGATTCCTATGAGCTTACATGGAGGTGCACACACTACTCGAATTTTAGTTGTGTAACTAAACAGTTGAATGGGCTGCGAAAACATTTGTGCGATAGTTGAGTCAAAGGTGTGTGCCAACTCTAAGAGTTCAGAATGATGAAACACATCGACTCACATTCAACATTTCTAAAACAAAAGAAAGATATTTGAGAAATAAATTTAATAAACAGACTTAAACTAAAGCCTCCGAAACACGTTTAATAGCAAATGTATGCAATGAAAAGAATAACAAAAAAAATGGTTTGACCTTGATTATCCCAAAAATTGGGCTTATTTCTTCATACATCTACTGGGTAAGCTCGATTAATTGAATAGTCTTATCGTCTTGATACATCAGTTTGGCAACGCGTAGCGGATAACGTGTCTAATGTATCTCTCGATAGCAGTAATAGCGGTACAAAAGTAAACAAAAAAAAAACTTTAAATCGGTCAACAACTTATAAAAGTCCACTTAGATTGCGGTGCGCGTGCGCTGTTCGTGCGAGCGCTGCGCGTGACTCTTGCCCATGCTCTGGAGACGCTTTCATGCATTTTTATGTTTGACGGACACGTTTTAGGAAACAGAGTAATTATTTAATAGTAAACATTATTGATATTTATTGTCTATTGATTCAAATGCGGATACAAATAAAATACGTAATTTATTACCCAACGTGGCTCTGCATTATAGTAGGGTTTCATTGATTGTATAAACCAGTAAGATACAAGCTTACGAGTAATACTTTTTGTAAAGAAAACCTAACTACTAACCATTACTAAAAGGATAATATCACTGTTATCCTACACATTCTTTGGTAATATCCACCCGTAAATTTCAATGGTTTTGGGGATAA